GAGCTACAATAGAGGGATATGAGCTACAATAGAGACATTTGAGCTACAATAGAGACTTGTGAGCTACAATAGAGGCATGTGAGCTATAGAGACATGTGAGCTACAATAAGGACATGTGAGCTACAATAGAGGCATGTGAGCTACAATAGAGACATGTGAGCTACAATAGAGGGATGTGAGCTACAATAGAGACATTTGAGCTACAATAGAGGCACGTGAGCTACAATAGAGGCATGTGAGCTACAATAGAGACATGTGAGCTACAATAGGGACATGTGAGCTACAATAGGGACATGTTAGCTACATGAACATGTGATCTATAGTGACATGTGAGCTACAATATAGGCACGTGAGCTATAGAGAGATGTGCGCTGCAGAGAGATGCGCTACAATAAGGACATGTGAGCTACAATAGAGGCATGTGAGCTACAATAGGGACATGTTAGCTACATGAACATGTGAGCTATAGAGACATGTGCGCTACAATAGAAGTATGTGAGCTGCAATCGGGACATGTGAGCTATAGAGACATGTGAGCTACAATAGGGACATGTGAGCTATAGAGACATGTGAGCTACAATAGAGGCATGTTAGCTACAATAGAGGGATATGAGCTACAATAGAGACATTTGAGCTACAATAGAGACTTGTGAGCTACAATAGAGGCATGTGAGCTATAGAGACATGTGAGCTACAATAAGGACATGTGAGCTACAATAGAGGCATGTGAGCTACAATAGAGACATGTGAGCTACAATAGAGGGATGTGAGCTACAATAGAGACATTTGAGCTACAATAGAGGCACGTGAGCTACAATAGAGGCATGTGAGCTACAATAGAGACATGTGAGCTACAATAGGGACATGTGAGCTACAATAGGGACATGTTAGCTACATGAACATGTGATCTATAGAGACATGTGCGCTACAATAAGGACATGTGAGCTACAATAGAGGCATGTGAGCTACAATAGAGGCATGTGAGCTACAATAGAGTCATGTGAGCTACAATAGGGACGTGTGAGCTACAATAGAGACATGTTAGCTACATGAACATGTGATCTATAGTGACATGTGAGCTACAATATAGGCACGTGAGCTATAGAGAGATGTGCGCTGCAGAGAGATGCGCTACAATAAGGACATGTGAGCTACAATAGAGGCATGTGAGCTACAATAGGGACATGTTAGCTTACATGAACATGTGAGCTATAGAGACATGTGCGCTACAATAGAAGTATGTGAGCTGCAATCGGGACATGTGAGCTATAGAGACATGTGAGCTACAATAGGGACATGTG